TCCCCATTGCAATTAATATATGGTAAAGAACCAAATATATCACACATAAAAATATTTGGTTATTCTGTGTATGTACCAATTGCTCCACCTTATCATACTAAAATGGGTTCCCAAAGAAGATTTGGAATTTATGTTGGTTTTAAATCTCTCCCTCAATTATTAATTATCTAGAACCTATGACTAGTGACTTATTCACTGCATGGTTCGATGACTGTCATTTTGATGAGACGGTATTTCCAGCCTTAGGGGGAGATAATAGAGAAATGGACCCACGTACGAAAGATATTACTTGGAATGCAACAAATTTATCTTTTCTTGATTCTCGCACAAATGCTTGTGAACAAGAAATTCAAAAGATCATTCATTCATTTACAAAATGTTGCAAACCAATTACCTGATGCTTTCACAGACTCAAAGAAAGTGACAAAGTCACATATTCCAGCTATGAATGCTTCTTCTCGAATAGAAATTCTTGTGGAGATTAGCGACAGAACTCTTGCTAATGAATCTATGATACGTAAAAAACGTGGTAGACCACTTGGTTCAAGAGATTTGAAACCAAGAAAATTTAAAAAGCAAGATGTAGTTTGTGATGCCAAAGAAGTTCAACCTTGTCAAGAAGAAAATGAACATTTTGAAAATACCGGCTTTGAAGATAACATCAATAATAATGATACCTCAAAAGAGGATGTAATCAGCTTTGAAGAGGTAAATATTCCATATAAAGATAGAAACGTCGATAATTTTGAAATTTCAATCAATTAAGTTTCTAATGGAATACAATGAAATAGAAAAGATATTGATTTTAATGATATATTTTCATATGTCATCGCCACAGATATAATGAAAGAACACGATGACAATGAGCCTAAAACTATTGACGAATGTCGTCGTAGAAATGATTGGCCAAAATGGAATGAGACAATTCAGGTAGAATTAAAATCGCTAGAAAAGCGTAATGTTTTTGGACCAATTGTCCACACGTCAAAAGGCGTAAAACCTGTAGGTTTTAAATGGGTGTTTGTGCGTAAACGCAACGAGAAAAATGAAATTGTTAGATACAAAGTCCGACTTGTTGCCCAAGGTTTTTCTCAAATGACAGGAATCGATTATGATGAAACGTATTCTACAGTAGTTGATGCTACTACTTTACGATTTTTAATTGGCATGTCAGTTTTGTAAAGGCTACAAATGCACCTAATGGATGTAGTGATCGCATATTTATATGGTTCACTCAATACAGACATATATATGAGAATTCCTGGAGGCTTTAATATACCTGATGCTTATAGCTCGAAATCTCGAGATTTATTTTCCATAAAATTGCAAAAATCATTATATGGATTAAAACAATCTGGATGCATGTGGAATAACGTCTAAGTGAATATTTGATCAAAGAAGGATACAAAAATGATCCTATTAGTCCATGTGTTTTCATTCAGCGATCTGAATCAGGATTCGCCATAATTGTAGTTTATGTTGATGATTTTAATATAATCGGAACTCCCAATGAAATTGAAAATACTGCTAAATATCTCATGAAAGAATTTGAAATGAAAGACCTAGGGAGAACAAAATTTTGTCTCGCCATTCAAATTGAACATTTGAGAAATGGTATTTTGATCCATCAATCAAATTATACCGAGAAACTTTTGAAGTGGTTTTACATGGAAAAAGTTCACCCACTCAATTCTCCAATGGTGATTCGATCTCTCAATGTGCATGATGATCCTTTCCGACCTTGTGAAGATGATGAAGAAATCATTGGTCCCGAAATACCATATTTGGGTTCTATGGAGCGTTAATGTATTTGGCTAATAATACCCGACCAGATATTGTTTTTTCTGTAAATTTATTAGCCAGGTACAGTTCTTCCCCGAAAAGAAGACATTGGAATGACGTCAAACATATATTCCGCTATCTCAATGGTACAATCAATCTTGGATTGTATTTCAAGAATGGTCCAAATGTCACTTTAATTGGTTATGCCGATGCGGGATACTTGTCGATCCACAAAAGGCAAAATCACAAACAGGATATGTATTCACCTATGGTGATACCGCTATCTCATGGAGATCAATGAAGCAAACATTAACTGCCACATAATCAAATCATGCAGAATTAATTGCTCTTTATGAAGCAGGTCGAGAATGTGTCTGATTGAGATCAATGATCCAGCACATACAAAATGAATGCGGTATAAAATCTTTTACTTGTAATCCTACTGTGATTTATGAAGATAACACAGGATGTATAGCTCAGATCAAAGGAGGTTACATCAAAGGGGATATAACAACATATAGCACCAAAACTTTTCTCCACACATGATCTTGAGAAAGAAGGAACAGTTGATGTCAAACAAATTAAGTCCTGCGACAACCCTGCTGACTTATTCACAAAGTCATTGGCATCGGAAAAAATTGAAGAACTGGTCCACAAAATTGGAATGTGTTGTCTTCGAGATATATGTTCAATTGAGGGGGAGTAATATAATGCACTGCACTCTTTTCCCTTCGTTAGGTTACGTTTTAATGCCACTGGGTTTTTCCTGACAAAGGTTTTTGATGAGAGAGTACATTATAATACTATGAAACTAATACCCATGAATAATTAGAAGATGACCATTCAAAAGGGGGTGTTGAAATATAATGAATTAGTCATCTCCTAACTATTCATGATTAATAAGTCATTATTATCATTATCAAAAGATAATTCATAAATCACAATTATGAATTCTAGATAATGTTTTTTTTTTTTGAAATAAAAACGAACTATGTTCGTCTCGCGCACCACCGTCCATCGAGTCAAACCCTAGGGTCTCTGGTAATGCGATCAGAGAGCTTTCACTCTCCGCCTCCCCTCAAAAGGTGAAAACCGCATAGCGGTGCACAACATGCAGACCGTATTGGGTAGCATGCTGCTTAAGGAGGATCCGTTGGACCTGCTTTGCAGTAGTCCTCAAGACATGAGGAATTGACCAGCCGAAAAGCTGGCCCACCTGGTATTCACCAGGGAAGCTGGATGAAGTACCAGGCGCGGTGGCCCTTCTGGGCTTCCTTGCCTGGCACCACAGAAACCAGTTCTGCCGAACGCACAGGGTGCGTGCTCTCCGGCAAGGGGAAAGTTTCTTGCATGGAACTCGCATTCACAAGTGGGTGACCCCAAACTTGAGGGAGAACCAGCCTGGAGGCTGGGTTACCCCGTTCGAGATCGATTTCCAAGTTCGACCTGCGAACTTGAAGGCAGACTCACGATGAGTCTGTTCCCTGTGCTGGGCTGAACCCCCACCAGTGGAGCAATCCGAGAGAACATACTCGGCACACCCCACCGGAACATCCGGGATGGAGTACTCTGACTCATCCTCAGATCCGGAGTCGGACCAGTAATACTGGTTCTTGTATGGGGGGGGGGGGGATCTCCCTCCCTTCCCAAGGAGTAGTCAACTTGGGATCATTTCTAGATAATGATTATGTGGCTAATATTAATCGCTCATCTTGAGCTAATTACTTGTTTAGCCTATAAATAGATGTTCTTTGCTTGATTGTAAACACATCATTAGAACATCTTTAATACACATCTATCACTAAATATTTATACTATACTTTCTCTCCCTAATCTTCTACTTATTTCCTTCCATTTTACAAGAGTTAGTTGATTAATAACCATTACTATCCAGTTGGTATACCATGCGACCGTCCCACGGTGCGCATGGTATTCCATCCCAGAGTGTGCATGTATTTTATCCCAAATTGCAGTGGGCCTAGTTATTTTTTATTTCTTTTTTTCTTAAAAATTATAATAATTTTTTTATTTTTATCCGATTTTTATAAAATTTATATCAAATTTTTTTATTTTTCATGATCTTTCAAATGAGACCAATATTGCCTATGTAATTTTAACATATTATCAAACTACTATATTAACCATTATTAATAATCCCTCCGTCCCTAAAAGGATTGCCAAGTTTTACCGGCACGTAGAATAATAAAGTAAAAGCTGTGCGGTAGAGATTTGTGAAGAGGAGAGAGAAATAACATGAGCCACAAATTGATTGATTAAAAGGGAAAGTGGCAAAGTTTTTGGGACAACCGAAAAAGGAAAGTTGGCAAAGTTATAAGGGACGGAGAGAGTATGTAATAATATGTAACGTTATGTGTAAAAATATGTAACTTGCGTTCACTGAGGTCAAATGCAACTGTATAAATATGTAACTCTACGTGTAAAAATATGTAACTTTACGTGTAAAAATATGTAACTCGCGTTCAGACAGGTCAAATGCAACTCGTGTGTATAAATATGTAACATTACATGTCAAAATATGTAACTTTACGTGTAAAAATATGTAACTCGCGTTCAGGCAGACCAAATGCAACCCGTGTGTATAAATATGTAACTTTACGTGTAAAAATATGTAACTTTACGTATAAAATATGTAACTCACATGTATAAATACATAATACAATAAATTTTTTGTATACACAATTTTAAGATAAATTGTGAGTTACAAAATTATTTTTCTGTATTAAATTTAGTCCGATTTCCCTTATAGGATGTTTTTACTTAGATTGTAATTTGCTGGTCTGGTCTGATCTGATCTGGTCTGGTCTGGTCTGGCCTGGTTTCTTTGTATTTTTATAACTACCAAGTCTGGTCTGGTCTGGTGTGGAAGGAATTACAGTCCAAGTAAAAACATCCATAATCCAATAATCATTTATATAATAGTTCGATAATTTGTTAAAATTACATATGCAATATTGATCTCATTTGATAGATAATGAAAACTAACAAAATTTAATATAAAATTTATAAATATCGGATACGAAATAAAAAAGTTATTACAATTTTTAACAAAATAAAAAATAAAGAATTCCACGATGATAATTTGCCATTACCATCCGTTTCTACCTAATACAACGAACGACCACAAAATAAGGTACTCCGTATTATACATGTATTATATTATTTCTTAAATAAAACAAAATATACTACGTATGTAATGACCGCGATTTGCTTCTCCCATCCTTCCCCGGCAATCATTTCCTCTCCGTTTGCCGGGAAATGGCCAAAATTAAACCTCTTATCAGAATATCCATACTAACGTTGTTGTTGTTTTCCTTCCAATGTCACAAAATTTTAGCCGACAAAGAATCACTGGACGCGAAATGTACTGATCGCCGACAAATCAAGAGTAGCATTGGAGCGTTGGATAAGAAAGATACGGCGTCGTTCCCCTTATCGCTACAAGCCCGGAGCCTCAGAGGCTCCTTTTCGTCTCATGGGGGGAGCCGGAGCAGGCGACGGCGCCGGCGGAGGAAGAGGAGGAGGGACCGTACAAAATCATCAAGTTCCGGCGGTTCTAGATTAGGCCATGAATGCGTAGCCTCGACAGCGTTTATGGTTTTGATTTTCTTTTTGGCATTATAGATTTTTAGGTATTGGATTTCTTCATATTTTGAAGGAAAATGACGGATTAAACGGGGATTTTACCCCATCCACAAAGGTGAAACTTGAAAGAGAAATTACTTGACGTGTTGTAAATGTAGGGATCTCTGAGAATTCTTGGATTATAAATTATTTGGATTTTAAAGGAATTTAGAATTCCATCAAAATCTAGCTATCCTCAACTGGGATTATAAAAGATTTCTTAGAATTCTACTTGTCATCAAACATTTCATGGATTTTTATTGACTTGGATTTGGCCTGATTTGGATGAAATTGTATACTGAAAACAAGAGCAAATCATTCCATCACAATTCTCTCCTCCACCCTCGGATTTCAAAATCAAGACAAACCCTTTGCTTTCTGACGCCTTCTTCATCTGCTTCTAACAAGTGGGAGACCGGGAGCCTTCTTGGATGGCCATAATATTTTCAGGTGAAGCGCATGAAGCGCATAAGGAAAACTAGCACCGCCTTAGTAGACGAAACAAAGCCGCAATTGATGAAAGGCCAAAACCTGCCATTTTTCTCTACCACGTCCAGCTCCTTCTTCCCTTTCTGGTTCTTCTTTCTTCTTTCTTTAGTTTTTTATGGGTTATACACTATTACTCATTCCGTGCTTGAATTCAGGAATTAAGTTAAGGGTAAGAAACAAAGATAAGATCCAATAGGCTGGTATTTGAACAGAGAGAATATTGCTTGGGTTTCACATTCTAGTGGGTTCTGTCTACGTAGATCTCAAAATCGTAGAAATCAATTAGAATCCACATCTTTCAAAATCTTTCAAAATTCATAGAATATACTATCCTCCGTTCCATAAAAGTTGCAACAGTTTGACTTTCACGTTTGCCAATGCGTAACTTTGACTGTAATTATATTTATTTACGTATTAGTAAACATTAAAAAAAGTTAATATATTGGAAATTTACATTAATACAAATTTATTAATATTTTATACATAATATTTTTATTATATATATTATTAGAAAATCGTAATCAAAGTAAGGTGTGTGAATAGTGCAGAAATTCCAATGTTGCAACTTTTATGGAACGAAGGAAATACAATATTTCAAAATCCTTTAAAATCTAAATCGGGGACACCCCGTAAAATCGGTTATTTGCTTTTTACTTCATAAATTTACACCAAGAACATACGAGTATTTTGTTAGAATTGATGTTACATTTCTTTTTATATTCCAAGAAACAAAAATATGTTTTGTTTGAAAGATATTCAGAAATATTTCAACTTCTTAAACCCAAATAATGTTTTTATAAATTTGGATTTATAAAAATTCTAAGAACAAATATTGGTGTTGTTTGGACAAAACTTCATCTTGCTCCAACCTTGACTTCCCCATCCAGTCAGTTGTGTATGTGTATATGATGGCTTCATAGTATGGACAATTCTTTAACTTTAAGGAAGTGCAACTCACAATGTAGACAATGGGTGCAAGACATCTACTTTTAGTTAAAATTGCAAATCATCAATTTGAAGATGAAATATATGTTCTTCAAATTTGCTACATGATTAAACCGCAATAAAGAGTTTTAATGGGACAGTAGCAAGTATGGGTTCAACCGGGCCGGTCCAGGTTGGGCCCGGGCTCGGCCGGTCCCGGTTCTAAATAATTAAAGCCTGGTACCGATCCGGTTTGGTCCGGTGCCAGTCCGGGTCCAAAACAGTACCGGTTCCGTGTCGGGCCCGGGACTGTACGTCTGTACCCGCCTATTAATTTTCTTTTTAAATCTAGCCGTTTGGCCAGAACTGGGCCCAAAATTCAAGCCTGAAGCCCGCCCCTATTCAACCACGGTCCGGGTGCCGATACCGAAAAACCGGTCCCGGACCGGTACCAAGCAGTACCAATCCTAGGTCGGGCCGCCCGGACCCAATCTCACCCCTAGTAACAAGTAGCGTGGACAAAGTCCGATCCGATTCTTATCTAGTTTTAGACCGCCCAGTTTCGGTTCTTTACAACCAAGAATCTAAGTCGGGATTTTTGCGAGCAATCCTGGTTCGATTCTTATAAGTGGTGGTTCTAATTCTAATCAGACCTGATTCCAAACTCCTCTAAGGCGGTTCTAGTCTTCCATTTGATAAAATTGGAGCTTAGAGCTTTATATGTGAGGATCTGGATCCATTCTTGGTTGTAGTGTTTCAATTTCAGTTCCGGTCTGACTCTAGACCGATTAAAAATCAGAATCCTTTCCATCTCTAATAGGGTTAGAGACCTAAAGAGAAGCAATGGAAAGGGAAAAAATGGCAGTGATATGTCATATGTGTAAGAAGAGTAAAAAAAGAAAATATTTCAGCCACATACACGACTTTCCTTCATTTTCACAGCAAATATTACAAAGTTTGATACGGACAACCAACCAACCTCACAATATGGGAAAAATTAGGAAACAAAATTGTAGATGAAAAAGGTTAAGCTTGAAGCAATGGCAATGTGAGACTCTGCCTGCACCATTCACCAACAACTATACATGAAAGTGACACGGAAAATGATCATTCAAAGTCTAAACTCAGCTTATTACAATATATTTAAACTGAAACCTCAACTCTGCCATTTATTCCGTCCATCTTCAACTCCGTCTGCCACCATACATGGAAGCCAGTGCAGGTCTTGTTGCCGGTTCTCATAACCGAAATGAGCTTGTTGTCATTCAAGGCCATGAAGAGGTACTCGTAGTTTGCCCTCTAATTTCTTGACCTGCATGAAATAAACTGGGATCAAACTGCTTCCAAATGGACTTATTAGTCCTCCTTTCGGGCAATTTCTGTATTAGGGACTAATCTTGCTAGCTAATAGTGAAAGTATTGGAAGTCAAACAGTGAATGTTGTATATGGACTGATGGAATAATTTTAAAACTATCAAAAACAAAACTTAATTTGCTGTTTAATGTTTGAGTTAATAACAAGTTGTGGCCACATAGTTTATGCTTTTCGATGTTAATAAGAGTGGGGAGAAGCTTTGTTTTTTTTCTTCTGGAAACCGTGAAACATATAGAAGTATTGATCTTCAATGCCAAAATATTAGCAAGTATGAAGCATCACGACTATGCACCAATGTTCCCTAAGATATATGTGTTGTATATGCAGCACAAAACATTGAAGGATTTGAGTGGACAAGTATGTGAGATATGTGGGGATGAAGTAGGCCTTACGGTGGATGGAGATCTCTTTGTGGCTTGCAATGACTGTGGGTTTCCGGCTTGCAGGCCGTGCTATGAGTATGAGAGAAGAGAAGGCACCCAACATTGCCCTCAATGCAAAACTAGATACAAGCGACTCAAAGGTACGAAAATCATTACACATGGACTATCTACATCATCTCCAAAAAAAGTATATACAAGTATTAAACTTGAAAGTCATCTCCATCATTTGCAATGAAGCCAAAGATTCACTATTTTTTGGCTTGAGAATATGATGGAATAAAGCAAAATGGCTCACTAAACTGTCTGTGATTCTTTGTTATGAAGCAGCAGTCAGTTCATGCAATTTTGGACGCGATTTTCACTATGGGTCATCCGGCCCCCTTACCCCACCATAGGTGGGAGCCTTTGCGGCACTGTGGTAAATGATGATGATGATGATGATTAAACTTGAAAGTCAATTATAAAAGATCAAACCTTATAAAATGAGTAATTAAAACTTTATAAGTTGGTTCATATAGTTAAACTTGATCAATCTGAGAGGCATTATAGAGTTTTACACTGACATCGTATTGTTTCCATTGATTTGATTGACACACAAAAAGGGAGCCCTAGGGTGGAGGGAGATGATGACGAGGAAGATGACGATGATATTGAGCATGAGTTTAAGATTGATGATGAGAAAAATGATAACAGAAGAATAGTAGAAACCATACTTCATGGTAAGATGAGCTATGGAAGAGGAGCAGAAGTAGTTGAAGATGCTTCTTCCAAGTACCCACATGTCATTGCTGGCGTTCGTTCCCGTCCGGTAACTCTCAGAAATTAAGTGAACAGTATATGCATGTGTGTGAGTGAGAGAGATAGATCTCACACTATATGACATGATACTTCAATTTGATATATGGTTCTGTTAAGGTAAGATCTAACTATCTAAATAATATGGATGCAGGTGAGTGGCGAATTCCCGATCTTGAATCCTTCTAATGGAGATCAGATGGGTTCATCTCTTCACAAAAGAATCCATCCCTACCCAGTAACGGAGTCTGCAGAAAATGTAAGATGGGAAGAAAGAATGGATGATTGGAAATTGCAGATGCAAGGAAACATGGGGCATGAACATGACGACTTTGCTGATCCTGAAATGGCCATGTTAGTTATGAATCATTTGCAAACAAACAGACAAAAAAGATGTCTTTATGAGTTCACCCAGTAATTCTTGGGATCATATATTGTAAACCCACACCTCATCAATCTAACACATACGTCCAAATAGGTTCTAACCTTAAAACCAATTGGCAATAAGAGTAACCCACAAAGCTTTATATGTAAGACTTGGGCACCTTAGATTTTCAATGTAGGATTGATTAGGTTTGCACAGACTAAAATTTGATTCCCACATTCATGAGATTTTTTTGTAACTTCCTTCCGTCAGATGGGATGCCAGACAATAGAAACTCGTTCCATACATCCCCTTGAAGCGGATTACTTTCCTTCGTAACAGACACTTTCTAAATGGTTCAATGCAATCTTTTAATATGATTTTTTTATACAGAGTCGATGAGGCAAGACAACCATTATCAAGGAAGGTACCAATTGCATCAAGCAAGATAAACCCTTACCGTATGGTAATTGTGGCAAGGCTGGTTATTGTAGCTCTCTTCCTCCGTTATCGAATCCTCAACCCTGTTCATGATGCCATTGGCCTCTGGCTAACATCCATCATCTGTGAGATCTGGTTTGCCTTCTCATGGATTCTAGATCAGTTCCCCAAATGGTTTCCCATTGACCGCGAAACTTACCTTGAACGCCTCTCTCTCAGGTCAGTCTAATCTAAAACCTTTAAAATTTAGAATAATACTAGGGAGACACTAAAGATGGTCATTCCACATTATAAAGAGAGATTCCTATCTGGCACACATTATAAACCCTATATTGTCCACTATGAGGTCTTCCAAGCATTACTCATTAATTTTAGAAAGTCTCTCTTTAGTAATTCAAGGTGAGACTGAACATTATAAATTGGCGTTTCGATGATTTAATTTTGTGACACATCTCGATCGATATGAAGGTACGAGAGGGAAGGAGAGCCAAACATGTTATCCCCGGTGGATATCTTTGTGAGTACGGTGGATCCATTGAAGGAACCTCCACTTGTTACAGCTAATACAGTCCTCTCTATATTAGCAATGGACTACCCAGTTGAAAAAGTCTCATGTTATATATCTGATGATGGAGCTTCTAATTGCACATTCGAAGCACTCTCAGAGACTGCTGAATTTTCCCGGAAATGGGTTCCTTTTTGCAAAAAGTTTGATATAGAGCCTCGGGCCCCAGAGATGTATTTTTCTCAGAAAATCGATTTTCTAAAGGATAAAGTTCAACCAACATTCGTAAAAGATAGACGTGCAATGAAGGTATGTCGGATAAAATATTAGCTTCTCTCGTATACCCAAAAAACAAGTCATGTCTAATGCTACAAAAGCACAACCCTTTTTTGTATGTGTTCCTTCTGATTCAACTATTAAGGACCTGTTCGGTAATGGTTATTTGACATAAATTACTGGATCCACTAAATTTTGTGAAAGGAAAAACATTTGGTAACATCTCTTTCAGTTAAATACGTAAATCGAAATCTCTCTATTCAGCTGATAAGCATAATAAGCAAGATTATCTACCCAATAGGGCCTAAATAGTACATTTCTTCTTCTTCTTCTGGAATGATAGAGAGAGTATGAGGAGTTCAAGGTTAGAATCAATTCAATGGTGGCAAAAGCAGCAAAAGTTCCTCAAGGAGGATGGATCATGCAAGATGGAACACCATGGCCAGGGAACAATACCAAGGACCATCCTGGAATGATCCAAGTGTTTCTTGGCCAGAATGGAGGAACTGATGTAGATGGAAACGAACTGCCACGCTTAGTGTATGTATCTCGTGAGAAGAGGCCTGGCTTCAACCATCACAAGAAAGCCGGTGCCATGAATTCCCTGGTACATACAGAACTGTTTGTATTTTCCATCATTTCCAATGGAGCCAAAGATTCATTATTTTTTGGCTTGAGATTATGATGGAATAAAGCAAAATGGCTCACTAAACTGTCTGCGATTCTTTGTTATGAAGCATCAGTCAGTCCATGCAATTTTGGACGAGATTTTCACTATGGGTCATCCGGAAACAGTCTCGGCTTTAGTACAGGGGTAAGACTGCGTACATCCGACCCCCCCTTACCCCACCGTAGGTGGGAGCCTTTGTGGCACTGGGGTAAATGAAAATGATGATGAAAATGATATACAGAACTGTTTGTACTTTTGTTTCACTGAATGAAAAACCAGAACATCTATCAGGCTGCATAAGATCTTTACAGGTTCGTGTCTCGGGAGTTCTTACCAATGCACCACTCATGCTTAACTTGGACTGCGACCATTATATAAACAACAGCAAAGCTGTGAGAGAGGCAATGTGTTTCTTGATGGACCCCACGATTGGACGGAAAATCTGCTATGTCCAGTTTCCTCAAAGATTTGATGGTATAGACAGGCATGACAGATATGCAAACAGAAACACTGTCTTCTTTGATGTAAGAGATAAAAATTCCTTTCATTGTTATTTTACTTAAAATACTTAAGGGTGCATTTGGATCCCAGTAAAATGACAGGGAAAGATTATAGGGAAAAAGCGCAAATAAGCCCTCGAACTAATCGAAAAAAATGCAAATCACCCCTTTTATAGGAGGCTCTGTCTGGCCGTCGCCATTTGGGGTGGTTACCGGTGGAATTTTTTGATGAATTTTATTAAGAATCTTCTTCATTAAGTCTAGTTTACTCATACCAAATTTCAGGTAAACATTCAACCGGAAAGGCAGTCAAATGATTTTCTGAAATATACTGCGCTGTTTAAATGCGCAGTTATCTTCAAACATTTATTCCACTGCCTTCGCGACTGAATTTTTAACTGAAATTTGGTATGGATAAACTAAACTTAATAAATAAGATGTTCAAAAAAATTCATCAAAAAGTTCCACCGGGAACCGCCTCAAATGGCGATGGCCGAACAAAGCCTCCAATAAAAGGGGTTAGTTTGAGGGCTTATTTGCCCCTTTTCCCAATAATATTTGTTAATATGAAGATTAAGAAATATAAAAGTAAGAAAATTTAAAGATTTGAATCAAAGTTATTTTCCAAACCGAAACAACTACATATTTTCTATAGCACTTAATCCCTTATACTACCATTTCCTGCATTCGAAACATGGCCTAACTGTTTCTAATTCATGGCCAGATTAACATGAAAGGTTTAGATGGAATACAAGGTCCTGTATATGTGGGGACAGGGTGTGTATTTAGACGACAAGCTTTGTATGGATATGATCCACCAAAATGCGCTAAGCGTCCAAAAATGGTAACTTGTGACTGTTGCCCATGTTTTGGACGCCGGAGGAAGCTTGAGAAGTATACTAAGCGTGGAGATGCTGCGAACGTCGAAGGTTTTTTTTTAAATACTCTAGCATTTCATGTTTGATTTTTTTTTCTACTCGTGCCAAACAAAGGAAAATTCTTGATTTCTTGACCCACAAAAATAAAAAGCATTAAACTGTTTCAGAAATAAAACTTCATCATGTCAAACACAGAAATCATTCCATGATTTTTTGTACTTGCCAGACAGAAAATTGTAGGGTAATAGTATTTTATTGTAAACCAACAAAGCTATGGTTCTCAGTTGTAGACTTCATTAATTTATTTCTAAGGGTGTGTTTGGGAGTTGGGTTTTCGAGGAGAGGTGAAGGTTAACGAGGGTTTATGACACTCCTTTTCATGTTTGGGAGTTTAAAAAACTGGAGGGGTGGTTTTGGAGGACTTTTGTAACCCTTCAAAACCCTCCAAATCCAAATGATTAATTTTTAAGTTCCCCCAATTTGGAGGGTTTTGGAGGATAATTAACAAGATGGTAATTTAAACTAAATTAGAAACGAATATCAGCTCAATGATTTGAATTCATCATATCTCAAAGTGATTTTAATTATAATTCCTTCAAAAACCCTCTCCTTCCAATTTTATTACTCCCAAATACAAAGAAGGGCTTCCTCACCCTCCTCTCTGTTTCCCCTCCAACAACATACCTCCAAAGCCTTCCTCTCCCCTTTCCTCCAAACTCCCAAACATACCCTAAGCGATTCCCAATTGTCCGTGGTCAGGATTTGATGATGATAAAGAGGTAATTATGTCAGAGATGAACTTTGAAAAGAAATTTGGGCAATCAGCCATCTTTGTGACTTCAACTTTAATGGTTGATGGTGGTGTACCACCTTCATCAAGCCCAGCAGCTTTACTCAAGGAAGCCATTCATGTAATCAGCTGTGGCTATGAAGACAAAACAGAATGGGGAACTGAGGTAACAAAGAAACACTATTCAAAGCTCTATTTGAACCTGTGTTATCTCCATTAACAGTCTTAGGGTGTGTGAAAGATGACATATTTTCAAAGATTAAGTTCTTTTTATACAAAACAAAAATATGTTTACTTTTAAAAGAAGCTTCTGAGTTCTGGACAGGAAATGAAAAAAGTACTTTTAAATATACTATGGATTTTGGTTGACTTATTTCCAAAGAGTATATGCTTTTTAGATTAGATGTACTTTTAGAGTTTTAGTTCAAAAGAAGCATTTAGCAGGAAAGTGAAGTGCTTTTAACGTTAATACTTAATAGTGCCTTTAATGTTTATTTAAGAAAGCAATAGATTCATACGTTTTCAAATAAGCAATTATGATGAAAGGACTTTTACAATAAGTAACCTCAAACAGGTACTGACGCTTCAGATTGGATATTTTTGAAGGCAAAAAAAAAACGGTCCTTGAATGAAAAAACACTTCTTGTTATTATAACTAATACGCACTTATAGCAAGAGTCCTCCCAAAAAGGATGACACAGTTCAGTTAAATCATGTGTGTTGCTTAAAATATTTCATCTTCCACTTTTTTCCAACAATCTAAATGCAAGTAAGAAAAATAGAGTAAAGCTCATATTAGGGATTTTTCCTAATGGCTACGATAAAACACAGTTAGGGTGGATTTATGGCTCAATCACAGAGGATATCTTGACTGGTTTCAAGATGCACTGTCGGGGTTGGAGGTCGGTCTACTGCATGCCAAAGCTAGCTGCCTTCAAAGGTTCGGCTCCCATCAATCTGTCAGACCGTCTGAACCAGGTGCTGCGTTGGGCTCTTGGCTCGGTTGAGATCTTTTTCAGCCGACACTGCCCGGTTTGGTATGGTCACAAGGGAGGAAAGCTAAAGTTTCTCGAGAGATTTTCATATATTAACACCACTGTATATCCTTTCACTTCCATTCCTCTCCTTGCCTACTGTACCCTCCCAGCCATCTGCTTACTCACAGGAAAGTTCATAATGCCAGAGGTAAAACAACTTTCAAATTGTTACACTACTTGGCACTTGAGATCCTCTATTCTAAAACTGCATTATATGATTTGGTATTGGTATCCCAACTGTAGGATTGTCATGTATTGGAATAATTTTACCTGACACTTCACGAAGACAAGTTAAGTTAAATAAACAAGGGAATAACCCAACAGTTGGAGTGTTGGACTACCAAAAGGAAATAACACATGTTTACAGACATCCTTTAGCTAAATAAGTTAATCAAAAGCTACATAAAGCTACTTAGAGCATGTTCCAGAGGCTATTTAGTTTTTCCTTATCAACCTTTTATCACTCAGTTTCTCACCATAAATTACAGGCCGATAATAAAAAATAAGCATGAGTTGTCTTTTGCGGAAATTGGTACAAATCAGCTAAAACATTAACAATTCCTACAGATTCGGTCATTTTAGATCTTACAAAAGATGTTCCTATTATGCTTATTCTGCTCACATTAGGCTCTACCAAACGGAGCCGCAGTAAGCTCATATCATCAGTCGCTAATGAAAAGAGTAACCTTTATTTGTTGAATCATACAGATAAGCACCCTTGCAAGTTTATTCTTCATAGCTCTCTTCCTCTCGATCTTCGCAACGGGCATTCTTGAGCTGAGATGGAGTGGGGTTAGCATAGAGGAATGGTGGAGAAATGAGCAATTCTGGGTCATTGGAGGGATATCAGCCCACCTCTTTGCAGTTATCCAAGGACTCTTGAAAGTTTTGGCAGGAATAGACACCAATTTCACTGTCACTTCAAAGGCAACTGATGATGAGGACTTCGGAGAGCTATACGCCTTTAAATGGACAACGCTCCTAATCCCGCCAACAACTATTCTGATAATCAACTTAGTAGGGGTAGTGGCTGGAATCTCTGATGCCATAAACAACGGTTCCCAATCATGGGGTCCCCTGTTTGGGAAGCTGTTCTTTGCTTTTTGGGTCATTGTTCATTTGTACCCTTTCCTAAAAGGTCTCATGGGACGGCAGAACAGGACACCAACCATTGTGGTCATATGGTCAATTCTGTTGGCTTCCATCTTCAGCTTGCTTTGGGTTAGGATTGATCCTTTTGTGCTTAAAACCAAGGGGCCTGATGTCAAGCAATGTGGAATCAATTGCTGAAACTCCTTTTTAATGATCCATTCTGGGGGTGTTCATCAGCATTCAATGGGTCAAAGATGCAAGCTTGAGCCATGTTAATGCAGAGGTATAAGAAAGAGTGTGATTAAATAATATATTTTTGGATATCTTGTTTAGTGTAAAATTTATACTTAATTTTGGATGTGTTAAGGCCTTGCTAAGTAATTATTGAGTTACTCAGAATCCAACAAAATATCATTTTGAAAGACACGAACTCACTTAATTCCTGCGAATTGGGCACAGTCATTGTATACCATATATGGAAGTTTTATTACTCCTACCATTTTAGGAACTGAAGATTTTAGGAATCTCCCAAATATGGTATCACACCCAATGCTGAAGAATTTTTTAACATCTAAAGAAGACATTCCAAAAGTGGCCTAAATGTATGAATGTGGTTAAGAATCTGATGGTTTCTAGGAAAACGTTTACTCTGACGTTTTCTGTGGCACAGGAAGACACTTTCCTGTAATGGTTATAGCGGTTTTCCTTTAAGGCCAAATATTATATTACACATTCAAGTTATTTTCCAATAACACATTTCTTTGGTCAAGCATTTTCCACAGCAAGTTATATTTCAAGTTATTTTCCTGCAATCGAGTGTGTACCAAAGATACAATACCCTGGCATCACATTCCATGGTATCTTATACTACCTCCGTTCCTATTATAATTTCCAAATAGGTTTGGCACACAATTTAAGATAGTGGGTATTGTGTGGCGGAGAGTTGTGCAGAGGAGAGAGAAATGTGTAAGAAATGTTGTGAACCACAAATTCTTTACCAAAAAGGGAAAGTGGAAGTTTTAATTGGAACGGACGAAAAAGGAAAGTTGGAAGTTATAATAGGAACGGAGGGAGTACATAACCTAAGGGTATGTTTGGGAGTTTGAGGGGAAGGGGAGGGGAAGGTTTTGATGGTTAGTCATCTGAAGGGAAGGGAGGGAAATGGGAGGAAACCCTTATTGTTTGGGAGTAACAAATTTGACAAGATAGAGTTATAAACTTATAATTAAAATCACTTCACATATATGATGAATTCAAATTGTTGAATTTATTTTTATTTGAAGTTGAGCTAAAGTTGTCATTTAATTAGTTATCCTTCAAAATTTCTCAATACGGAGGAACTTGAAAATTGAGCATTTGAAGGGTTTTCGGGGTTACAAAAGCCCTCCAAAACCATGACCTCCATATTTTTAAACTCCCAAACATGAAAAGGAGGGTCATAAACCCTTGTCAACCTTTCCCTCCCCTCCAAACCCAACTCCCAAATATACCCTAAGAACTTTGGGGGTATGTGCTGTCAATGAATGCGAACAAAATGAACTACAAAGCCATCGCATGAGATCTCACATTACATTGGTGAGAACCAAACAACAAAACATAACATTACCATAGGTAAATGTGAGATCCATGTGCACATAAAGTGAACAGAACACACACTGATGACTGACGAACTTTGCACAAAATAATTTCCATCATAGCGACAAAGGTTACAACAAATGGTCGAGGCAAGTTGATAAATACCTGACACTTCCTCATACAAAAGTCTTGAACTAGTCTTGACTTGAAATTAGAGATCCTCCATGGTTTTCAGTACTTCGCAACTCCAACACTTTGTCCCTTTCCAAAAATGGTGTCTAGGTTGTCCTCATAGAGACCCAAACTCTTTGCCAAAGAGAAACCAGCTTGCATACCATCAACAGCAGCACTCACTATCCCGCCTGCATATCCCGCTCCCTCCCCCACAGGATACAGCCCTCTCAAAGACATACATTCAAAAGTATTTGTTGTCCGGGAGATTTGAACAGGAGAGCTAGTTCTTGTCTGAATCAATAAACAAAGAAAGTTAGCACTCAGCAACAATTAACCATACAACCCTAAAGTAACCATACATTATTAGGGTCTTGATCACCTCTATGGCTCTATCTTAAAAAGGATCATTACTACTATCTGGTCTTAATTGCATATTAAAGGTTTCATGCTGATAAGCACAAATGATCACAGAGGGAAAAGGCATACCTCAACCCCATGAAGAAGGGCGCTGCTGGAAATAAATCCTGGTAACTGAACCACAAGTTCAGGAAAAGTATCAAGAAATGCAAGTTAAGCTGCACCCCCTACTTTCCTAACTAATCCCTTCTTATTTTTCTTGTAAGCTATGTTTGGGACATGGAAAATACTAAATAGTAAGGAAAGAGAAAAAACACCAAGGAAAATGTTGTTTAATGTTTGGTTGTACTATGGACATGAAAAAAGTATATGGTTAAAACATTGATTTTTTACATATATTTAAATTCCTAGTATTTATTTTAGACATAAGCGAAAAAACGAATTTTGGTAAAGCCTACAATTGATTTATTGAGTTTGAAATTTTGAATTAAATTTTCATTTCCAAGTTTTCCATATTTTCCTTCCTATTACCTTTCCCTGATATTTTGGGGGTTCTAAAAAGAACATTAAGAGAAGAACTGTGCAACTGATTTTATTTTCTCCTTGCTAAAAATATCTCAACCACACAATTCCTTGTTTTCACAAGGCAGCCCAAAAGGAAATTGGAAGATTAATTTGGGATGGACCGAGCACTGAAATTTATACTTTTACTTAAAAAGAAATGATAGGAAAATGAGGAGAATAAACCAAGACCTCTTTGTCAAACATCAAAATTGACTTTTGCAAAGCTTCAGTGATATGATTTGGGAACAATTCATGGAGATTTGCTGCTTTTACTCCCAAACGATAACTTGATGACGGTAGTGATGCTACTGCAAAAACTAATAAGAATAAATTTTTAAAAAACATTTAACAAATGCTAAAAATCTAATGAAATACAATAAAAGAACCGACCTGATGATTTGTTGCCAAGAAAATCAGTCACTCTTTGAGCAGGTACGACAAAATCCCCCCCACCCATGAGAGCAGCCTTCTGTTCAAATGTTCTCTGAAAGTCGCCATAAATAAATGTAAATTTTATGCGGAGAATAATATGAAGGATAATGCATTCATGCATCGTTAGTTCATTTCTTATTCTCTACATTGCACAGAAACTGCGCAAACGTGAAATGTCATATTCTAACAGAAAAACAAGTGTTTCTGGACCGCAAGCATACTGCTTCACAAGAGTTCCCGCACATCATAGCTTATTGGGAAAAGGGTCAAATAGGCCCTCGAACTAAGTTAAAAAGTGCAAATCACCCCTTATATAGGAGGCTCTGTCCGGCCGTCGCCATTTGGGGCGGTTCTCGGTGGATTTTTTTGATGAAATTTTTTTAGCATCTTCTTCATTAAGTCTAGTTTACTCATACCAAATTTCAGCTAAAAATTCAATCGGGAAGGCAGTCAAATGAATTTTTGAAGATAATTGCGCAGTTAAACAGCACAGTACATTTCAGAAAATCATTTCACTGTATTCCCGGTTGAATTTTTATCTTAAATTTGGTATGAGTAAACTAGACTTAATGAAGAAGATCCTCAAAAAATTTCAACACAAAATTCCACCGGAAACCGCCCTAAATGGCGACGGCTGGACAGAGCCTCCTATATAAGGGGTGATTTGCAACTTTTAACTTAGTTCGAGGGCCTATTTGACCCTTTTCCCTAGCTTATTCCAATTATTAGACATTTTTGGAAAGTGTGAAAATGAATTTCAAACTACGTTTGTGTTATATAAGTGATAATTCTTACTTTAAATGTTAGTGCAAACAACATCAAGATCTTCCGTAAAAGTAAAACCTCTACGCAAAATGCTACTAAAAAGAGTGGTGAAGGTGCTTCAAAAGAAAGATACCTGAAACTGAACTCCAGCAAGGGGACCATATAAACCTAAAGCGGAGAAATCATTTGGCGAGACAGTGACGACAAGTGCAGCATTTGCCCACTTAGATGATCTTCTAGAAAACGACATCCCGTTGATACATAGTTCTGAAGGCTTTGTGCTGGTTAGAACAACCTACCAAAACGTTAACAAGTGAAACCAGTGTGAATTCTCTTAATGTATCCTTTATAAGCCTCTCAAGTCCCAAATAAAAAATATTACGCGGTATTCTATCCAACCAAAAACGTCTTTTTTTATTAAGGTACGCTTTTATTATAATTTTGTTAAGGTACAACTTCGTACAAATTATCAGTTCTACTTGCACTTTGGAAATTAGGTTTTGTTGAAAAATGACTCTTTTTCTGGGACAGCTACACGCATTGAACAGGACTCATATATTTTATTTGGGGGACCAATTATTTTTTTAGCACAATGTTCACATGAGGAAGATACCAAACCAATGCTCAAAGAAAATCCCAATTCACACATAATAAATGCAGTATATATACCTGGCCACCAGGACACATACAAAATGAGTAAGAATTACGCCCGATTGGTGAAGGAGATTGCAATCTATTTGTATTCAAATAATCTGCGACCTTGTAATCAGCAACTGGAACTCTCCCACGTCCATTATTAACCTCTTTGGCTAATTCAGAATACTGTAGATTCCCTCAAATAGTGAAGTTTCCATGTATGAAAATTAATGTGAGTGTTACTCCAAACATGCTTCATAGTTATCAAAAAAATTGGATTAACATGTTATGTTTAATACATACCTGTATAGCATTTATTAACTCTTGGGGGTGCTCCACACGTAATCCAATCTGTTGTTTTCAAGTTTTGAAGATTGATTAATCGAACAGTGACA